TACAATCATGTACTAGTCTACAATCATGTACTAGTCTACAATCATGGATACGTACTAGTCTACAATCACGTACTAGTCTACAATCATGTAATAGTCTACAATCATGTAATAGTCTACAATCATGTACTAGTCTACAATCATGTAATAGTCTACAATCATATACTAGTCTATAGTCTACAATCATATACTAGTCTATAGTCTACAATCATATACTAGTCTATAGTCTACAATCATGTAATAGTCTACAATCATATACTAGTCTATAGTCTACAATCATGTAATAGTCTACAATCATGTAAGTCTACAATCATGTCCTAGTCTACAACCATGTATACATACTAGTCTACAATCATGTACTAGTCTACAATCATGTATACATACTAGTCTACAATCATGTACTAGTCTATAGTCTACAATCATGTATACATAATAGTCTACAGTCATGTACTAGTCTACAATCATGTACTTCTCTACAATCATGTACTAGTCTACAATCATGTATACATACTAGTCTACAATCATGTAATAGTCTACAATCATGTATACATACTCGTCTACAATCATGTAATAGTCTACAATCATGTATACATACTAGAGTCTACAATCATGTAATAGTCTACAATCATGTATACATACTAGGCTACAATCATGTAATAGTCTACAATCATGTACTAGTCTACAATCATGGAAGTCTACAATCATGTAATAGTCTACAATCATAATAGTCTACAATCATGTATACATACTAGTCTACAACCATGTACTAGTCTACAATCATGTATACATACATACATACTAGTCTACAATCATGTAATAGTCTACAATCATGTGATAGTCTATAATCATGTAAGTCTACAATCATCTACAATCATGTAATAGTCTACAATCATGTATACATACTCGTCTACAATCATGTAATAGTCTACAATCATGTGATAGTCTATAATCATGTAAGTCTACAATCATCTACAATCATGTAATAGTCTACAATCATGTATACATACTCGTCTACAATCATGTAATAGTCTACAATCATGTATACATACTAGAGTCTACAATCATGTAATAGTCTACAATCATGTGATACTCTATAATCATGTAAGTCTACAATCATCTACAATCATGTAATAGTCTACAATCATGTGATACTCTATAATCATGTAAGTCTACAATCATCTACAATCATGTAATAGTCTACAATCATGTATACATACTAGGCTACAATCATGTAATAGTCTACAATCATGTATACATACTAGGCTACAATCATGTAATAGTCTACAATCATGTATACATACTAGGCTACAATCATGTAATAGTCTACAATCATGTAATAGTCTACAATCATGTGATACTCTATAATCATGTAAGTCTACAATCATCTACAATCATGTAATAGTCTACAATCATGTGATACTCTATAATCATGTAAGTCTACAATCATCTACAATCATGTAATAGTCTACAATCATGTATACATACTCGTCTACAATCATGTAATAGTCTACAATCATGTATACATACTCGTCTACAATCATGTAATAGTCTACAATCATGTATACATACTAGGCTACAATCATGTAATAGTCTACAATCATGTATACATACTCGTCTACAATCATGTAATAGTCTACAATCATGTATACATACTCGTCTACAATCATGTAATAGTCTACAATCATGTGATAGTCTATAATCATGTAAGTCTACAATCATCTACAATCATGTAATAGTCTACAATCATGTGATACTCTATAATCATGTAAGTCTACAATCATCTACAATCATGTAATAGTCTACAATCATGTATACATACTAGGCTACAATCATGTAATAGTCTACAATCATGTATACATACTAGGCTACAATCATGTAATAGTCTACAATCATGTATACATACTAGTCTACAATCATGTACTAGTCTATATTCTACAATCATGTATACATAATAGTCTACAGTAATGTACTAGTCTACAATCATGTATACATACTATTCTACAATCATGTATACATACTAGTCTACAACCATGTACTAGTCTACAATCATGTATACATACCATAATAGTCTACAGTCATGTACTAGTCTACAATCATGTATACATACTATTCTACAATCATGTATACATACTAGTCTACAATCATGTACTAGTCAACAATCATGTACTAGTCTACAATCATGTAATAGTCTACAATCATGTGATAGTCTATAATCATGTAAGTCTACAATCATCTACAATCATGTAATAGTCTACAATCATGTAAGTCTACAATCATGTAAGTCTACAATCATGTACTAGTCTACAATCATGTATACATACTAGTCTACAATCATGTACTAGTCTACAATCATGTAATAGTCTACAATCATGTAATAGTCTACAATCATGTATACATAATAGTCTACAATCATGTAAAAGTCTACAATAATGTAATAGTCTACAATCATGTATACATACTAGTCTACAATCATGTAATAGTCTACAATCATGTATACATACTAGTCTACAATCATGTACTAGTCTACAATCATGGAAGTCTACAATCATGTA